GCCCTTCCCGGCTTCCCCCAGTACCCACTCATGTTCCACGTCACCCATCTGTCCTGTTTTGGCAGAGATAACTACTTGTAGTAATATTTAAAAGGTATAAACTGAAAATGGAATGGATAGAAATGTAAACTGTTTGCTGCATAGGATTGCTTTTTAGTTCTCTTAAAAAATTTCAGGGGATGATAAAGGCTTTTCTCCCTTGAAGCAGTTTTCTGGTAGATATTTGGGGTTTATATCTTCTTCCGGAGGAGCAATGTTGCCTCTTGCAACCATGGAGATTTCTCTCTTTTATTTCTTCTTTGGTAGCATCTGCCCATGCCTCCATGTGCCTTCCTTGGGCGTCCTCGGGGCCTCGGGTGTTTTGCTGTGCCTGTCCTGACGTGGAGATTTCTTCTTTGGTAGCATCTGCCCACGGAGGCCACAGTGCCTTCCTTGGGCGTCCTTGGGGCCTCGGGTGTTTTGCTGTGCCTGTCCTGACCCAGCGGGAGCCCTGACCCCCCCTACGTTCCCAGCCCAGGCACCTCTGGGATGCCAGCAGCAGCATCTCCTCCCAGCCTGGGTACCAGTGCCCCCCCCGGGCATCCCTGCCCTTGCCCAGCATCTCTTCCGCTCTGCCCGTGCTCCGGGCTGCCCGGAATACACTCGCTAATGCTGTGTTTGCAAAGCAGTGCAGGTGATTTTTCAGTCTGACTCGGTTGCAGAGCACCAGAGCAAATGCCTGTTCATCGCATCCGATTTCTGTGGTTACCTGAAACGTGAGTCGCTCGAGGTGGTGAAAGTTCCAGGGGAAGAAAAAGCAGTGAAACAGCCAAGATTTTACAGGTTAGGGCTGTGGGGCATTGGCACAGTGGAATGGAAAGGCTTTTTGCTGTTTGTTCTTTCATTCATGTCTCATTTGGCTGTTATTAAGGGAACTGAGTGTCTCCTGGCACGCCTGCCCTCTGCCCTGTCCCTGCTGGGAGGAGCAGCAGAGCTGCTGGAGGGAGACCTCCCCCTGGCCCTGACATTTTGGGAAGGAGCTGTGGGGCTGGAGCCTGGGGGGAGCTTGCTGGGAAGGGGGCCCAGACCATATTGGTGGGTGGCGAGTCAGGCGGGCAGGCAGCCGGGGACACCAGGGGGATTTTTTTGGCTGGGTAAATTCCAAGAGTATGTGGGGAAAAAATAAACACTGTGGTTTAATGCCGTGTGAATACACTGCTCTTGCTTCCTAATCCTTTCCAAAAGCTCTTGTCCTCCCTTGTTAATATTTATCCTGGTTAAAAAGGGAAAATAAACCCAGAGGAGCAGTGTTGTGTATCAGCCTGATCTCCCTCCCTGGCACACCCTGATGGCCGCAGTAGATACCCAACGAGCACCTAAGCCTCGTGTTTTCTGCCGGTGGTGGGGGCTCTGCCTCTTTCTCCCTCCCCCGGCTCTTGCTATTAAGTGGAAAATTGCCGGTGGAAAGTCAGCGTGCTGCCTCCTGCGAGCACCCGAGCGCTGGAGAAAACCCACGGGACAGATAGAGCGAGACAAGCCCAGGCGAGACCCGGAGTGAGGAGTAAATGGGACCAGTTACCCCTGCGCTTGTGGCGGTGGGGCTGTGGGTCCCCACACGGCCGCTTACGGACGAGTCCCTTCGCAAGCAGCTGGGGGGCTTGCAGGGGTTAAGACTGCAAATTGGTGTCGCTCTTAAAGGTGGCTTCTTGATACTCGTGTTACCAAAATAGAAAATACGGTTTGAAACCTCATGGCTGGCTGTTTCGGCTGAAGCCGTACACCTGGGATACACAGAGCATCTCATGAGCATTTACAAGAGCTTGCTCGGCTGATAAATGGAGATGTTGGCTCCTCACCCACACCTGGGCTTAGCCTACACCTCCTGGCTTGTACTCATTTACTTTTGGAGATCCAGGGGGGGGTCAGTGGTTGACACCGCACCCTCCTGCCTCTTGGTGCTGTGTCCCCAGCCCTTCCAGCGCGAGCAAGAAGAGGCACCAAGTCTATGTTGCAATAATAAAAATAAAAGTATAATTTAAACCCGTTAGCCCGAACCAAAGATAAACAGGGGTAAAAGGATCAGTCCTACCTTTGCTGGCTTGGGGGGCTGCTCCGGTGTGGCCCCCGTGGGCCCCGATCCGCGGGTGCCAGCAGTGGGTCCCACCCCGCTCAACGTGCAAAGCAAAAGTGCAACTGCTGGGAGCAGCAGCTTCTGCCTGCGCGGGAGGGGACGGGGCCCTCCCCGGCCGGCGGCGCTTGCCGAGCTGCTCCTCCTGCCCACGGGTCTGAGCTGGACCTGACCCTTTTTCTTTCTTTTTTTTTTTTTTTTGT